AAGATGGGGTAATCTACTTCCGTAGTGATATTGCCTCGGAAACCCAAGGAGGGGTCGCTATGAGTCAGGTCCGACTCAATGGCACATAACAACAACAACAACATGTTTTATAGGCATCACACAGACGGTGCTTAGAGGGGATATTAAGCTCTCATTACTTTGGACTCTTTAGAAGCTTAAAAGTAGTTCACCTACATTTAACCCTTACTGATCTTTGACTCCACAAGAAACTACGATGAATCATTGCGGGCTTACATCCAAGTAAACAATTAGCATCATTTGACTCGTATGTTTTATGAGCCATTAAACTTAATGGAGTTATTAAAACTTACATAGCTGTGTTTTAATATTGTTCCCATAATTACTACTTCAGTCATGAAAAATTGGAAGCCCATTAACTTGTGGTATACACACCCTGCCTACCACATAGAACCTTTTGTTCCTCCTTGCTCTGTGTTTTGTCCAAGTCTAGTTGGAAATGTGTGTGTGTTTTTATACAGGCATGCACACAGGTACAGGTACATATGGTTAGGAGTTTGTTCTGACGTCAGTGGGGTGCCATGACTCGCTTTTTTCCCCTCAACAGAACGTCTCAGGGATCTTTCCATGTCATGATTTCTGCATCTCATTCTTTTTAGCGTCTGAGACCTTTACTCAGCATTGATGAGTCTGATGTTTGACTCTCAGTTGACAGGGTGCTTCTCCTTTGTTCAGTGGTAAAGTTAAAGAGTTGTTTGATTTGGAATATGAGAACATTTTAATTCTCTTTTCATCTTGCTTGGTGCAAAAGAAGAACAGAAACTGATTGGACTTTCTGCGTCAGTTCTCTGTCTGCGTAAGAGCTCACCTGCCTGCCTTTTTCCCCAGACAGTCAGCTTGGTCCCTGGTCACATGTTGTGCTCATCCCTTGCAACTTTTTTACTTGCTCCTAGTATTTAATGTTGGATTTTTCTAACAAGGTTAAATATTTATACTAAAATAGCACCACGGATTGATAGTTGAAAGCACAACATGAAGAGAGGACAGAGTTTCTGTATTTATAACCACTCTTCCTCTGGCCACTTGGTGCTTTTTGGTGGTTCTGAAGAAATCTGATTTGTCAGTTGGGCACTGGCGGTGGCAATGGGGACAGCTATGCAGATTTTTGTAATATTTCCCTTAAAAAAAAAAAACACTGATTTTTTTTGTCAGTACTATTAAAATAATACTGTGTTCATTGAGGTGATATACCAGATAGGTGACTAGGAGAGTCGTGTACACAGACGCTTGGGCCCTGCGTTACATGTAAGAATGATACAGTGATGTGCATGAACATGTACTCTTTTATACCCCCAGAAATAGTCAGTGCATTCTCTTATTTGCTTTCTTTCTTTTCTTTTTTCTTTCATAGAAAAACTCTGTGAGAAAAGTCAGACATCATTCCTGTTTGGAGACTGAGAAATGAAGGGAGCTGGGGGTACATGGTGGTGAAACCGCAGGGTGTGATGTCTTTAAGCCATAGTTTCCTCATCTGTAATTGTCTTCGTTATCTAGTGCTGCTATAACAGACACTGCAAGTGGATGGCTTTAAAGGAGCCCTGGTGGCACAGGGGTTAAGCTTCATTCCTAACTGGAACGTTCACAGTTCAATACCACCAGCTGCTTTGTGGGAGAGAGATGTGACAGTCTGCATTCGTAAAGATTTATAGCCCTGGAAACTCTATGGGGCTGTTCTTCTGCCCTATAGGGTCACTGTGAGTTGGACTCCATTCAATGGCAGTGGGAAGATGACTTACGTATTTTCTCATAGTTTAGGAGGCTAGAAGTTCTAATTCAGGGTGTCAGCTCTAGGGGAAGGCCTTCTCTCTCTGTCGGCTCTCAGTTTAGGAGAAAGGTCTCGTTTCTTTTCAGCACCTGTGGGCCTGGCATTGCTTGGAGAGCTCCATGTGTCCTGGCATCACACTTCCTCTGGGTCTAGAAGGTTCCCAGCACAGGGACCCTGGATCTAAAGAGTGTGCTCCACTCCTGGCTCTTCCATCTTGGTGGTACTGAGGTCCCTCTGCTCACTTCTCTTTCCTTTTTATCTCTTGCAAAAGGTGATGCTACACCCCAGGGAAACTCCCCTTACATCAGGTCAAGGCTGTACCCTGAGTAAGGGTGCTGCGTCCCACCTTAGTCCCCTTAAAACTGATTGGCTGATCACATCCCATCCCATTCCATCATGGGGATGATCTCATCATTGCATAACTGCCAAATTTCATCACCCTGTAACTTCCAAACCACTGAGAATCATAGCCTAGCAAAGTTAACGTATATTTTTTGGGGGTACAGTTCAATCCATGACAGTAGTCAAAGGAGGGAGAGAATGGTAATAGGAGTTCAGAGGAGTGTTGAGGGATTAAATGAGAAATAAACTGACAAGGCCCCAGCACACTGCTAAACCCTCAACCAGGGGAGCCACAGAGCACAGTGGTTGGAGGTTGGGGAGCAAAAGTCCTAGCTTCAGGTCTCACTAATGTTTCCTTGTCACGAAAGGAGAGAATTTACCTTTTCCTGTTTGTAAAAGACTCTCACTTCCTTCTAAGTTAAAAGAGCACTAATGTGTCAGTGTACCCTGTTGTGGTTATTTTTTTTAATAAAAGTGATTGGTTTCCTCTTAACCATTCTTCGAGTTCATGATTTCTTCAGTTGAGGAACATTTCACAGAATTTGAAGAATTTTAAACAGTCCTAGAAGATTTAACAGCTTACTTAAAAAGTAGATTTGTTACTTTTACCCATTGAGTGGTTATTGAAAAAGCAACAAATCTAATTTTTCACTCAGCTGCTTCAGGCATAGAGGAGTGTAGACAAAATGTGACAAGCATTTGTGAGTCTACCTCCAGGTCAAGAAATACGATATTAAAAATGTAACAACGGGCCTTGTGTTTGCGCAGTCCCAGTCCCCCCTTGATATACCCCCAGAAGATGCCCTGCCGTGGACTTGATATTTTTCACTCAAAGTTGGGCTGTTTTAACAATGTCTTGTTTCTTCCCACAGCTATCTGCATCATACTGGTGCATTTACTGATACGATACAGACTACATTTCTTGCCAGAGAGTGTGGCTGTAGTTTCCTTAGGTAAGTGGTGTTGGTAATCCTGTAATAAAAGTATAGCAAATGATGCCATTTTCTTTCTTTCTTTTTTTTTTTTTAGTGTAATTTTTTTTTTTTTTTTTTTAATTTTTATTATGATTTGGGTGAAACTTTACAGAGCAAATTCACTTTCCATACAGCAGTTCACATATAGTTTGTTTCATGACATTGACTACAATTTCTCACAATGCAACAGCTCCCCTCCCACTTCCTCCCCATAGTTACCTCCTCCCAGTGTCCATCCCTTCATACTCTTCTGCACCCTGAGCTATCTCCCTGTGCATAAGCAGCCCTTCCTTCTCCCATGATTGTTCTCTCCAAGGAGTGTATCTACCTCAGGTAAATGTTCAGCTCAGATGCCTGTCTTTTGTTTGGCTGGAGGCCACAGGAGTGGGTTCAGTTCCAGAGCTGAAGGGCAGCTAGGGGCCGTAGTGTCAGGGGTTCCATGAGGACCGTTTTTGAGGACCGCTTAGTGCTGGAACCACAAGAGGTGCAGTACGTACCTGATCTCATTTGGATCCTCACTGCCGCCTGCCAGAGCTCATGATGACCGCATTTTACAGATGCATACATTGGGGCTCACCAAGGGGCCCTGAGGACCCCCTCTGTACAGCTCCATCTAGAAGGCTACCCTCGGGTGAGCTGACTGCTGGTATTAGGCTGTGCTGATACTCCACTCACCTAAAGCAAGGAATTAGCAATGCCAAGAATTACTGAATTTTATGGCCAGAAGGGTCCCTCACTTTACAGTTGAGGAGGAAGAAATGGCTCATATAGATGAGTCACGGAGTCCGTGTCAGATCCAGAGTCTTCAGAGGGTTCCATTCTGCCCCACTTCTGGGTGTGTCTTTTGTTTCCATGTGGCAGTGAACAGTTATTAGCCTCTATTTGGAGTAAATAAATGAGTGTACTAACAGGTGTGAATTCACAGGCAAGTTCATTGAAGTAGTTAGTGAAGGAAGAAGCAGAAGCCTTTGCAGTTAAGTACGAAATTCAAAGCTAAACTGTGGGTGGGAATGCTTAAGGCACGGTAAATAAGGTTTTACTAAGGGTGACTGAAGGAGCTGTGGTAGCGTAATGCCTAAGGCACTTAACTGCTAACCAGAAGGCCTGAGGTTCAAACCCACCAGCCACTCCTCGGAAAGAAGATGGGGCAATCTACTCCTGTAGTGATACTGCCTCAGAAACCCAAGGAAGGGTCACTGTGAGTCGGGTCTGACTCAGTGGCACATAACAACAACCACAACAACAAAGGTAGCTGGAAGTTTTATCTGTTTGTGCTTTTACTAGTTTCCACTTGCCCATGGATGAGATTTAATTTTTCCTTATCATCACTGATGCTTTATAAGTTCATTTTCTTTGCCTCCTAGATCTTATTGAAGAGAGTTGAAATTCTTTTGCCATCTATCTTTCGTTAAGGTTAGCTTTGGAAGTAAGCATTCAGACTCTGCACACACACATGCACACACACTCACACTCACCATCTCCATATATTTTGCCTGGATTTTTCATGGCCTCCTGCTGAGTGGCCTTTTGACCTCTAGATCTGTTTCTCTCTACTTCCCCATGTTGCCATATGGATGGTTCTGCTGCCATGTTGTGGCATGGTTCTATAACACAATATGTGTGGTTGTGTGTGGTTCTATAACACAATTTGTTTTGATCTTATTTCAATCTTTGGGTCAAGGAGAAGGTTTCAGTTTGGTCCTACTGTGTTTTAACACCTCCATACACCTGAGAAACTTCCTTTTTTTTGTCAGGTTTTAGGTGCATTCTTATTTATTTTATTTTTTTTTAATTAATTAATTTATTTATTTTTTGATTTGGGTGAAGATTTACAGAGCGAATTCACTTTCCATACAGCAGTTCACATATACTTTGTCTC